CATCTTTGTATCATCATATTCCAGGAAGAGATATATCCTAGAGTGATATTCTACAGCCGCATGAAATTACACTACCGGTGGTAAAAAGTCAAGCCTATGTTGAAGAAAGATTTTCACAAGAATAAAAATCCCCCTTTTACTAAGAGGGATTTCGATCCCGTTTTCCTTCAACTATCGACTTATTTCGGATCTGTATACAAAGGTTCAAATATAATTAAATTCTAGCTATGACTGCATGGGAAGTTAATTTAGAATTAAAGAAGACAATGTGAACAATGGGAAAAGGATACCTGACGTGGTGATCGGCAGCCAACTTCTTCGTTGGTGGTGGTAATTGTACGACACGTCGCGGTGTTGCTAAGTGATCTAAGAAATTTTTCGGTTGTTGATGAGCGGTAGTTTCAAGAAGACTTTCCAAATCTATAATATTAACGTGGTAGAACTTCCACTTATCAACTGCAAGAAATACCGACTTGAAGATTCCACCAGTTATTAATAAGCCAAAAAATTTGCGAAGCAGAAATTAAAACTGAAAATTGAGTGAGACACTTGTGAATATCCCAAACAGCGGGATTCTAGCTGCCTCAAAATCGTTATTGCTGTGATCTACGCAAACTGTCTCAATTCCGGGCCACCAAACATCCACAACAACAAATTAAAAAAATGAACAAAAGGAATGGAGAAAAATATCCAGCATGCGTCCAAATTTTTCCAAGGGTTGACAAGATCGGAGCGAAAAAAAGGAAATGTATGTACAATCAAGCAACGAAGTTACAACTAACTAACCTTTATCATTTATTACTTCCACACATCGTTCATCTACCTCTTCCTCAGCACTAGTACGAGCCGAGTCACGCTTTACTTTACACGCATTGACACGTTTCAGTTTGGGACTTGTGTTATGAACTGGTAGACGATAAAGTTTTAACAGATCGGGCGTACTCTTCGATGGTACTCGTTGCTGTACCGGGTAGCATTCAACGCAATCGAAATTCTCATTTTTCAGTGTAAATTTTCTTGGGATTCTCGGAAGTGTGGCAAATCCTAAACAGGTATTTTCGACATCCTTAATATTGGACACCAGAGATAGCTGGTCAGTTGAACCGTTTATCCTGACATCGTTCAATGCTATTCTCGTTCCAACATCTCTGTTAAGAGCTAAAAATACAAGTTCACGAAAACCAAACACAATTCTCAACATCACATACGACAATTAATAAATCTCTGCTATATCCATTAAGTGAATTCCGTTAGAAGACATTTTAATGTCTTACCAACACTATCATTAGCTAATAGCGCTGTTCACACCAAACATAATAACAGAAAAAAAGTGTGATACTTTTAGCGTATAAAATCTTATGTAGCTTATATCCAATATAAAATAACAACACCACACCAATATTTCACAACAGATAACAGTTAGTGAAAACAAAAACGTGTTGAATTTTGCAATGAAATGTAAAATAATATCCGAAATACAAACACTTACATTCGATCATTTGCATATTCTTCGTTAATGAAATCTCAGTTTTCATATCTAAAAATTACTTTACTATATTTTCTAGCTGTAAAGATGATAGACATCTGCGGTAGTGAAATAGTTATTACCTTTATTCAGCATAACATGCAGCTCTGATTAAAAAAAAAAAACTCCTTGCAGCGCAAATCAAAGCATAAAGGAACTTATGTGTGACCTATATTGCACCTCAAACTGTTTCGGACTTCATCAAAAAATAATCAACATAGCCAATGGTACATAGAAATGATATACAGTGAATTCAACAAACAAAAAACAATCATGATAAAAACTCTACCGTAAGGTTTAGAAATATCCTCGCACTTCAAAGGTTGCCGCCTTTTCGGTGGTTGTGGTTTTTCTTTTGGCGGTCTTTCTGACAACGTCTGTTGCAATTCGAAAATCATCGTCTTAAGCTTCAGTTCTCTTTCACCTTTCTTTAAGCTGTAAAAAATGATGGTTGTATGAAAAAGCGATTGACCCTTAACTAAAATCTTTGAATCAAAGAACAGGAGATATTCCCAAAAAAAAATTCCACAGATTTACTTTTCTTCGCGTTTCTGTAATTCTTCCGCCTTTCGGGCCATTTCGTTCGCGATTGATGATATTTCTTCCATCATACTTTTCCGTAGCGTGTTCAAACTGCTCTCCAAGAACTAAGAATTGCAAAAGTGATCATGATATACAGTATCTTTAAGATCAGTTATTTTATATAGAGTATACCGATGATTTAATGTAAACCGAATAAGACCATGCGCGGCCATAAGAGCATACATACAAGTTCTCATTAAATGGATTAAAAAAGATTTTCACACTGATCTATTTAATCTATTTGATGAGATCAATACCGATGATTGGTAGAAAATCAGTTCAAAACTACAGTTTCATTGAAAATTACACTTTCAATACTTCAACAAATATTTAAAAGACCTTACCGTCTGATCATGTGGATCTGCTGCCCGGAATTTGTCGCCAAATCTTTCCAATTCAACACTTAACTCTTTGAAAGTTGGCCTCTGCAGTGGATCGTCACGCCAACAACTTTCAATTATTAGCCTCAAATCTGGTGGGCATGAAGAAGGGATTTTTTGTTTCACGAACGTTCCAATCTAAAAATATTCACCAACTGTTCATACATATTTATTTGTTAATTACACGATGTACATTAGCAAAAAAAATCATTATGAAAAACAAACTGAACCTGTAGCTGAACAGCCCCAGGACCCAATCCTTCGAACGGTGTTGCACCGGTTAATACTTCCCAAAGAATGAGACCGAAACTCCAAACATCCATTGCTTTGGAACATTTACGGTCACGGATTACTTCCGGTGCAAGATATGGTACCGTACCCACAACGCTCATCCTGAAAAACTGAGTTTGTCTGGAAGCGTTAAATTCTCATTAAGATTGCAATTCTTCAACTATTTCATACAATCTTTTCGCGTCCCATGCAGAGTAAATTTACTTAATATTCAGCAAATCAGGTGACTGATAAATGAGAAAATTTAATTTTTCTCAGAAATCTTGAATAAGATCCTACCTGCAATCAGCAACTCTCAACTTTTTCGATAAGCCAAGGTCAGCGATTTTTAAAGTAAGACAGTTTAATGCCGAACCATTACACTTTTGACAAACACCATTCCTGGCTTGCAGCGAATGAGCCAACTGCTCATCGGTGCTTGCCTCCACATTCAACAAACAGTCGCATACTTTTTCCTTGATCAAAACTGAAATTCAATATTTCCATTTGGGAAAAAATAAAAGTAAAATTCTTGATCCAAGTAATATTGCAGGAAAAATGTGAGATGACAGTTCATAGAATAAAACACGATTTAAGACCAAGCTCCCCTCTATCACTACACTGTGGGAATTTTTTATTTAACGGAGAACATCCATTACAACATACTAAAATGTAATCAAAAATACAATATAACACACTGAATTTTCCCATTCCATAGAAAATGATAAAATAATATCGAGTTTGACTAAGTTTAAATAATAATTTATGATACTAATTATACCAATTAAATAAATAACTCTTCGGAAAGCTCATGTTCTGGATTATAAGTGAAGCAAAAAAAAAATAAAAACAAAAATAGTTACCATTAGCCGCTTTTAAATCTCTATGAAGAACATTCAAGCTATGCAAATAGCTCATGCCACGAGCAACTTGAACACCCCAATTACTTATGATTTCTTCCGAAAGTGATATGTTCTTATTACTAGCACATATTTTCGCCAGTGAATCTGAAACAATGTGTTATTATGAAAATTATGACAGGCTACTTTCGAAAATCCAATCATTTGGTAAAGCACTGTAATCCAACGAAAACAGTACAGTAATCTTCAAATGTACAAGTATAATAACAACTCTAATATATAACTAACCTCTACAAAGCTCAAGAACTAATGCAGGTTCATCGCCAACAATAACACCATACATTTCAACAATATTCCCATGATCCAACATTTGGAAAATACTAGCCTCTTCACGAACTGCTGAAGTATTTAGACTAGCGTTAGACAGACAGTTCGAACGAGTTTTACCATTTTTCATCTTACAGGTGAAATTTCACTGCTAACACGAGCCTCCTCTCTATTTACCTTCGTAACATATGAATGTGAATACTTTGTTTCTATAAAATTGAATGCAATTTCAAAATTTAATTAACAGTAAAACTTACCTTCCAATATTTCTTTTTTGCTGAATTTCGAATGCGGAATTTTCACAGCTACTTCCTGTAAAAAAAAAAGTGTTGGGAGAATTTACTCTAAATGCATATTTAACAGACATATTTGAATATCCAACAACAAATTTACGCAAACAACGTCAGGATAGAACATTCAACATAGTAAATTGTCTTAAGCATAAAACTCGACAAAAAAAAAAAAAAACAAAAATAATAGTCTCAGATTACAAAGTTTATATGGATTAAAAGACCGTTTGCAACCATAAGTAATGATAATTGAGTAAACTCGACATGGTTGAGTTAACTTAACTTGGTGGATAGTAGTCTCCTTAACATTAAACTTCCATCAATTAATAAAATTTCTATCGGTTTATGTGGCAAGAAAAAGAATAATGACAACATGCATCGCTTTCTTCTTGTCCTTTTCATTTCAGAGAAATAAATTCGATAACTGACATAAATAATTCTTACCCGCCCTCTGTAAATTGCTGACTTGACAACTGAAAAGCCACCGGCTCCTAGTAAACCAGTAAACTGAATATCGTTTGGATCGATTTCCTTCGCCAAACCCTTCGCTAGTTGTACATGGTTTTGTGGGAAGAATCCTTTCTTTCCACTACCATCCAATTTTTCGCCATACCACCAACCTTCTTCTCTGAAAAATGAAAACAAGTTCAATCTTTCACTGCAATTTCCGATCTTCCGACTAGCTGTTTGATGCCAATAGTCATCAAATGTTCCATCAAAACAGTCTGTCACTCCATTTAAGTTATACCACAAGAAATATTACCACGTCATCAATAAAAAGCAATTATATATCGTATGTTACAGCCCTGAAGTGGGATTTCCTAAATCAGAAGCTATACAGTAGAGTGACTAGCAGTTATACTACTCAGTCAATCATTTCCATCAGTCTGCATTATCAATGAATGTAATAAAATTTGAAGTTACTACTGAAGAAAATACAAAAACACCCTAATCCATTTCATAACCGCACTCTAACCCATCTCGACGTATCACTTTGATAGTTGCTCCACGCTTCAATTTCAACTCATCCTTCCGTTTTGGCGTGTAATCATAGTTTGATTCAACTACAATTGACTTCTGCGGTTTCACATCATCATGACGGAACCGAACATCAACTGAAATGATTCGTCTCTGATTGATTTCAATACTAGATACTGAACAATATTATTCATATCGTACACTGTCTAAACGTAAGTCCTTTATGCCAGCAAAGAGAGTAAATTGCGGTATCCAAACTTTTAAAACTTATATCAAAGGGATTGAAGATAAATTATAGTCTTAAACAATAAGATTTTCAAAAACAAAATCAAAATAATTATAGTCAAAAAAAGTTAAAATTGATTTACAGATAATAAACACTAACTGTTATCAGTATCAACACTAGCAAATATATCAGAAACAGAGCGTGATTTCCTTTTCGACTGAGAAAATATTTCTGGTCGATCTGGGACATTATCGTTTAATGATTCCATAGGATATGCACGCGAAGTTGATGGACGGTTGACAAGTGTCTTCGGCAATAAAGTCCTCTAAAAATGGAGTTGATATGATAAAGTACATTCTTGGGATATGAAGCAAGAAAAGCGCAGTGAAGAAAAAAGGAATGAATAAACTTGAATGAAAAAGAAAATGAAACTCCGTAGGGAATTATTCCTGGAATGGACAAGCAGACGTCTGCAAAATGATCAGTAAACCAACTATTTCAGGCAATTATTTTTCACCCAAATTTATTTTCATTTTCTTGGATGATATAAAACAAATTCGTATGAAACTCACGAAGCTGCATTTCGGATGCCTAAATATCTTAAAAACCATCCCTTCCTCCACCTTCTTATATCTTTTGCTACAATCGTAACCTTTATATTTCAATTTTCATTCTTCAGGAATATAAACAGATAAATAGTGCTAAAAAATAACTGAAATCTTTCCATACCTTTTTACTCTAAGGTAGAACTATCAGTAAATAAGGATAAAAAAGAGTGACACATCAAACCTTCATATTTCAATTTCTGTTTAATGGTACAAATAAAACAGAAACATTAACATGATTGAAAAAGTAATAAATCTACTGAAAAAATGAATCTACCCTGGAGGGAAAAAATCAACAACAGCATAACAGAATTACCTGTTGAAAAATTTTTTAAAAAATGGAAAAAAAATTAATGAATTACAATCAGAACTATTAGACAACAAAATGAAAAAATTTACCTGTAAATGGATACCGCTTAGTGTATGTGCTATCCCATCTGGCGTGCCTATAATCATCGGCTGATGGGGACGGAAAAGTGTTGGTGCAACTGGTGTTTCTGGTGATTCCATTTGTTTTTCGTTCTATGACAAAAACAGGGACAAAAAAAAAATAAACCTGATATCATAAAAAAGTAAATTAACTATACGAAGTATGTCAACATATAGTTAAGATCATCAATATGAATTTACATTACGCTTCTCTTTTCCATAATCCTCCCAAGTGCGTAAATATTTGTCTAATAAAATTTCAGCCATAAATTAATTTCTATCTTATAGATCCATTCTAATTTTAAACAGAATACTATGATGAACCTGTAATTGAATTCAAATTTATAAAAATGATAAAAGAATGGAAAGTATAATTAAAATAATTTAAGGGAGAGATAGATGCATTTACATAATTATTCATTTATT